AGTCATTCTCTTTTGAGGTAAATATAATTTTCTAGGACTAATCAAAACGCTCGAAACTATAATAATACATTGATTACATGCCATTTAAGTGTTATACATGCTCAGATTATTTAAATTCCGTAATTATCATTTTTAATCGCTTGCCCCGTTTGGATCAAATCTAGTAATTAAATACCAAAAATTTTTTTTTGGAATTTAAGAAATCTAAGCTTGAATAATACCTAAATGACATGTAACCAATGTATTCTTATAGTTTCGAGCATTTTGATTAATCCTAGTAAATTATATTGACCTAAAAACAGGATGACTTATTTTCTTACGTGCAATTCCTATGGGAAAAATAAACACTCGATGTGCGACCTCTTAGAATTATCGTAGAGAGGGGAGATCCATGGTCCTCCATCATTACTATAGCAAATACTAAAATCTAAGTGCGATGGCGGTTGCATTGCCGGATTTTTATTTTTATTTTATTGACGTTGTCTAATATACAAATGTACACACAAATGTATATGAATTTGTACATAAAGATGTAAATAAAGTTCCTTAACAATATACATATGTACATTTATCTACGCATGTAAACATACAAACATCCGTGCTTATGCATATATGGGTGATTCTCTCTATGGATAATAGAACTAGGGGACACAATTGGGAGCCGAAAATTTCCAACTAATTTTTGCAGGGATGTATAGAAGACATAATTCTCTACAATGTGTGGTCAGAAAAATAAAGAAATTAACCGCGTAATGAGATGAGAATGAGTACTACCATCTTTATAAATATTGTGAAAATTTTCAACATTTTATCAGGGATAATGAGCGATAATGGATAGGCAGGACAAGAATACGACAGTTTGTGGAGGATCACCCATATCTCGATATATGTAGGTAGAATAGAAAAACATTAACAAAAAAAAAAACAGCAACAAAACTTACATCACAGTATTCTTGATTATTTGCTTCTCTCTGCTTCGTGTTGTTGTTATTCTAAAATGTGAAACGCTTTTTTCTTGGGTTTTCTCATTTGAATATTGTGTTTTGCGTTGGTTGGAGGTTTGGTTAAAGTTATCAGCTTCCTTGAAATTATTCTGAATTGAAATTGTTGAACGGTTTTTTTGTTTTTACGTTTGGTATTTCTGTTGTTGCATTTCAATGTTAAAGCGTACATAGGTCTCCTTACGGTTGTTTACTTGCTGGAATTGTTGTTGGTTCAAATGATACTCCATTTGTTTAAGCGTTTGTTGTTGCTTTATGCATATTTCGTTTTTTTTTTTTTTTTTTACAATTTTTAATTAATTTCAATCAGTTTAATTCGAATATATTATGCTTCCCTTGTTTGCATTTCTGGACTAGGAAACATACCTGCAAACAGAGCAAAAAAAGAAATACACAGAAATCAGATTGCGGAAATTGTATTTCAAATGTGCATTTCTTTACTATACAACAACAGTTAAAAGCTCTGTTATGCGGTAATTGATGTGATACAAATTACAAAATACCTTTAAGTTTCCACTGAGGGAACTACGATATCTCTTATATGAGTACAAGATTTTTATTTTTTTTTTCATCGAAAAGTAAATTTTTAATACATAAACCACCTATCCTTGATATTAGATAATTTCAATTTCATAGTGTATCACAAATTGTTATAAATTGTTATTTTTATGATCTTGTCTATCAATATGGACGTTTGAACTAATATTGTGCTGGACTTCCACTGAAAGTCTACCTATTCCCGAAAAGATTAATTCACCGAGCCCAATTGAAAGTGGTTGAGTGTAATTGAGCCTTAGACGTAAGATTTAACCTTAGCCACGATTGAGGAATGAAATGCTTTGAAACTACCAATGCAACAATTTAAATCCCTTTTCGTAGCAGAAATGTATTTTGTAGGCCCTGGTTAAAGCAACATCGCAAAAAATATAGAAAAAGGTTTTTTCTTAACAGCGAATGTATTTCTGCCATGAAAAACAGCTTCTCATAAAAATACAATCGCCGTTCGGAGTCGGCGTAAAACTGTAGGTCCCTCCGCTTTGTGTGACAACATCAAGGCGCACGCCACAAGTCGGAGGAGAAGCTCGGCCAAACACTAACATATGTGTAAGCGCCAATCTATTATTATTATTAAACGGTATCGAATAATACTTTTGCATTGTTTGTTTGACTTTTTTTGCAATTTTTTGCTGAAGAATGTATAAGTAAGTGCGGCCATGGAAAAATTCAAGTTTACCAACATGGCAATACTAATTTTTTGTTTGCATTGTAAACATATATATATATATATATATATGTACATATGTATCTACATATATACACTTGTAGTCAGCTGATTAAGACAAGTGATATTTTGACTAGTTTTGGCTATTTTTCTTTTGTTTATTTAATATTTTTATTTTTTTTTTATAAAAGTTTGGTACTTTTCCTAACCAGCGCCACATAAATCCACATTTCAAACTTCGTACAAAAATTATGAAAATTCAACAACCTTTAACAATTGCACCCAAAAATTTTAAACTTTTTATTTTGAACTTTTAGAAAAATCTTGGGCACGCAGTTTTGTAGCTCATTAAAATGCTTATTTCAAGACGCAAGAAAATCGTGTTGATTTTTAATATATATTTTTTTTTGCCAAAACTAGTACAAAATTTCACTTCACTGAATCAGCTGACCACAAGGGTATCTATAGATAAGTACATTTAAAAGTGAGTTTTGTGCTAAAAACATCAATAAAAAAAATATAAATGTAGAAACATAATGAAAAGAGTTTCTTTGCTCCTGTTAGATCCAAGGTATTTGTTAATCACTGCAGTGAAATAGAAAGCATTTTCAAATGCATGTGTAACGTGTGAGATGGGCGTAACAATTGGGCAATTTTGATAATTTTCCGAAATAATTCTTGACTAGAGTAAAAGTTAGAAAGTACCAAATTTGACTCATAATATATGCCTACAAAACTGCTGTGCAAAATCGACCTACGACAACTCCTGTATGGGTACGTTGGCCATGAGTTGCTGGTGGCGCTGCAGACTGCAGTGAACCTATCTCTCCAATTTTTCTTATTTACATGCATTGAGTAGAGAAACAAACTTCAAAAAAGGGTAGTAGACGTGGAAATGGGCAATTCTTCTTTCCTAACTGAAAGTAAGTTATAAACCAAATTTCAACCAAATCGGAGTATGTTTCATATTTTTGGCCGCAGCCTATTTGGGGAAGTTACACTGTGCAGTGCAACCACACCTGCGCGTGTACCGCAAGTAAAGTTTTGCTTTCCTTGGGATTTGCCTCCTAATTAGTAATGGCGAGATTAGCGTTAATCTAGTGTTTATATTCGAAAGGCATAACGAGTTCCCTGTTCTGATTAATCGATTAATTACGAAATTAGCATTTTTTTATATATCCAAATCATAATAAATCTCGTTTCAAGATTTGACAAATGGTAACACTGTTTATAAGTGAAATAGCTCTGGAATTTCTTAAAAAGTTACACCGCTGTTTACAATGTTGTGTAAAAATTACATACATTGCATTCCAAAAGCCGAAGGATGAATGATGATACATTTCCTTTAATTAATCTAAATTGTCAAGTTTCAGATTAAGACGGATTATTGAAACCTTTCCTCGTTTTCCCACAAATATTACCACTTCATTGCTACATCAGCAAAGGCGAAACGTCTATTTTCTAAAGCCGGGGCAATAGCTTTAGAAGGACGAAAGAGCGGATCAACTACTAAAAAGCTTTCAAAATCACTTTTTTCACAAACTGATTTAAATTTTCATTAAAAGGCGGAACGTCTATTTTCTAAAGCCGGGGCAATAGCTTTGGAAGGACGAAGCTGATCAACTACTAGAAATCAAAATTACTTTTTTCAAAAATTCATTTAAATAAAAAATTGGAATCAAGGTCTTTCTGTTTTTTATGATTAAAAAGATGAAATCCGACTAATCGATTAATATTTTTTAATTAATTGCAATTAACTATTTTTTTGCATTGCAATTAATCTTTTGATACATTAATCGAACTAGTAAATTTTAATTGCCATCCCTGCTCCTGTTATTCAAAAAGAATTGATCACTCACAGAAAATCAAAAATATGTACTGACGTACTCTAATATGTAGTTGCAGAATAATAAGCTCTTCATTTCTGTGGCAACAAAACAAGGCAGCTTAACTGCCGTCCCTAAATTGGAGCGCTAAGCGTTGCGTTATCCATTGTCAACGAGTGTCAGCGCGCGCTATCCCCAAATCAACGCATCGTTATTTTTGACGTTTTTTCAGGTCGTCTCGTTTTTATTCTCGTTTCCTCTTTCACTTTTTTGTCCCTTCTCTTTCTTTCCGTCTTCTGGATCCAACTTCAACACGTGACGCCCTGTCATAAATTAAAATTCCATTTGCTCGGCGTTAGCGCCGCGTTATTGTGGGATGCTTCATACAAATTGTATGGGCATGAGGATTTTTGACAGTTGCTTGACGCTTGACGCGCCAATTTAGGGATGGCAGTAAGTCGGGTGGTTGGTATCAGATTTAAGCTTAGTATTCAGCGCTCGAGAAGAGAAAACAATTCCATATACATAGGAAAAGGTTGAAGAAATGGGGAAGAAATTTTCTTATGTCAAATTTCTTTAAAGGCGTACTGCCTCAGCTCTCAAATATAAGTACACTTATTACCACGCTTTTATCATTTCGATCTCTTGTTTGTCCAGGCATAGAATACAAAACTAGTCTAGACATCAACCTCGTCGATGGAACATAGAATATGCAAAAGTCTCGACATCTGCCTTGCCAGAAGTAATTAATAATTTAACAAGCGCATTATTATTACTACGCCTAAAATTATGCATTGCGCTTTAGCGGAACCGCGCGATACGCCATTTCTTTAAATAAAATTAATTGATGCTATATGTAAATATGTACATATGTATATAGGCACATGTACGTTGAAAGAGAAAATAAATAAAAGTCAGTTTGATAAAATACAATACACATTCAGAATATCGTTGAATTATTTCAAGATCTATTGCAAAATTTATACAGACAAGACTAAAAAGTAGAAAATAAATAAAATAAAATAACTTTATAATAGTTTCTATAAATGAACTAAATAAAAAGTAGAAAATAATACATATTTCCCTGTCCCATAGAATTTGATTTGATAACTTTTACTTTTGAAATTTTGGCAAGTCATAAACATTTATGGAATGAAAATTAAAAACTTGGAGCGCATGCAATACAAACCATTACACTTAATTGACAATATTTGAGATCGATTTTAAGCGATCGATATCCATATGGGCAAATCTAAAAAAACAGGTAACCTTGGTGTTGTTTAGCTTTATTTTCACTGTTGGAAACTATATCAAGCTGGTTGCTTTTGGATATAATTCATTGACGTATACTTGAAGCCTAAAAAAAAATTGGATCAATTTGCTGCATAACTTTTGAATTATAGGTGTTTAAATAAAAAATAATAATGAAAACAAGTGAATTTTTTATGTAATTTTTAAGAGGTGAAAAATTAATTATGTCATAACTTTTGAAGCACACCATATACTGATTTGCAATTTTATGTGCAATTAGTACTTATGTGTACACTTCATATGTAGTAGGTAAGAAAGGTGTGCATTAAAAAATAGCGAAATGGCAAGTAACTCAAAATCTGTAATTCCACATTTCACAATTTTCAAAATTTTCGGTTTATCGCGTATAGTTTTTGAAGCATTTAAGTTCAAGAACTTTTTAAGTATGTCACAAATAATTTGATACCTGTGCAAGAGCTGTGCTTTCAGAATAAACCAACTTTTAAAGATAAAATATTCTGCGATCTTGAGCGTAATTTTTATTCCAAAAACAATTTAATTAAAGGCACATTTGGAAAATACGTCGAAACGCTCTAAATATTTCTATAACTGCTAGTCCTTATAAAATTACATATACCTGTAAAATTCATCAAAAAATTTGTCTCTAGAAGTGTGTTAAAACCCTGAGTTACTACTTTTAATGATGCTCCTTCTTTTAGTCAGAATATTTCGAGAGTGGTATCAAAGAAACTTTTTTTCGACAAATGTTCTGATAGTTGCTCTTACTTAATTGGAGCCTTCTAAATTCAATGGCGTCCTAAGTTTTACCCTATTGGCTCCACTTTTCGAGATAGCGGTACTTGGAACTTTGCTTAAATTTTAACTATTTTATAAAAAAAAGTCCCTGGGTTTTGAAGATATTTCACTAAAATTTTGCACATAACCGTTTTTTAATATTATCTTAACTATTCCATAAAATCATCCAAATCAGTTCACTAAAACATATAGCTCCCATACAACTGATTGATCAGAGATGAGTAATCAGTTGTATTGGAGCTATATGTAAATGTTAACCTATTTCGATAATTTTAAGAAATAATTAAGGTAATATTAAACAACTGTTATGTGCAAAATTTTAATAAAATAACTTCAAAATTGAGGGAGTTATTTATAAAATAGTTAAAATTTAATCAAATTTTCAAGTACCGTTATCTCGGAAACCGAAGCCAATCTGGTAAAACAGGGCACGCCATTGAATTTAGAACATCCCAATTAAGTGAGTTCAACTTTCGAAATCTTTCCTCAAAGTTTACAACTTGAACAGCGTAATTTCAACCCGGCTTATTCTTTTGTTTTCTATTTCATGCTTATTCCTCGTCTAACTTTTGAAGCACTTAATGAAAATGAATTACACTTATATTAATCGATTTATTAAGAGATTACGAATAAAATGATATATAAAACATAGGTGTGCTCACAAATTTAAAAATTAAAATTTTTTTTTTGAAAGTGTACCTATTTTTAGATTTGTATGTATTACTTTTCATATCAATTCAAGTCTATTACATGCGCCCCACGTTTTTCATTTTCAATCTCATTAATTGTTTATAATGACTTTTGTTCAAATTTTAATATCTAAAGTTATCAAAACAAATTCTATGGGACAGCGAAATATTATTTTCTACTTTTTAGTCCATTTACAGAAGCGTGGTATATAAAAAAGTTTTTTTTTATTTATTTTATTTAATTTTAAAATGTTTTTTTTTAAGAAAAATATGAATATGGCAACGCAGATTTTTCACAATGAAGAAATGAAACGTCAAAATTACTTATCCGCTTGAAGTAATATATGCCGATTTTTTCTTAAATTTTTTCTTGTGAGCTGGATACTAGCTTTATTTTTTTCATGTTTATTTGCCAAGAGTTTTTCAATGACGAATAGTACATTATACTAAAGTCAACCTTCCAACTTAAGCTACTTTGTTTTGTTGGCACAGATTTCATTTCGACACAATAATGTTCAAAATACGTGCAGTGATGATTAACATAATTTTCATACCAACACACTATGTGCTTATAAAAGTGCAGTTTATGTAGAAATACATATGTATGTATATGTATGTGCAAGATGTAAATTTGCTTGATAAGAATTCGATTATGAAAAATACTTACATATCCAATAATCCAGGACTTGAGATTGACAATTTGCAGTGAGAATGAAGTTAAATATTTTTTTGCAGAAAAGTTGAGTACGTACCTGAAATGGAAGAAATAAACTGATGTTAAAAAAGTATGTCACCTTTATTAGCTTCTGATACTCATTTTAAAAAATTTATGCATACTGGATTTTCAAGAATGTAACTTAAAAACATATCTTCGATTTTTAATGAATCCTTTGAAAATTCCTGTAAGGCATAGAATGACTCAGCCACTCTACTAAGTTCTAGTGGCTTTTCGCAAATTAGTACAAAAGCAGCACTTCCGAATGAAATGAGGAATACTAAATCGTGTAGGGTTCGAATGAATACGCCTTTGGAAACCCTTACTCCCCGATGCTGCTAAATAATACTGGTTTACAGCAAAAATGTTCTATAGATGCCACTATTCAATTCGTATGTAGAATTGTTCGGTGAATCCGAAAATCGAGTTAAATTTTTTTAAGTGAAACTTCGATGGCGGCGGATGGTTGGTTGGGAGTAAATTTGCAAATTCAACGGAAATTGCACACGGAGATTTTGTAATCGAAATTCTTTGGATTTTGCTGTCGATATTTTCTTAACTTATCGATATAATAATGGATATTTTTATAGATTTTGTTATCGATATTTCTATTGATTTTGTTATCGATTATTCATCAATTTTGTTATCGCTATCGTTATCGATTTTGTTATCGGTTACTTATCGATTTTGTTATCGAGTATTTATCGATTTTGTTATCGACTATTGATAGGTTTTTTATCGATTTTGTTATCGATATTTTTTATCGATTTTTGTTATCGATTATGTATCGAACTTATTATCGATATTTTATCGATTTTGTTATCGATATTTTGATCGATTTTCTAACCGATTTTGCTACCGATATTATTATCGATTTTGCTATTTTGATCGATTTTCTAACCGATTTTGCTACCAATATTATTACCGATTTTGCTTTCGATATTTTCGGAACTTATCGTATAATAATCGATATTTTTATCGATTTTGTTATCGATATTTTAATTGATTTTTAACGATTTTGTCATCGATATTGTTATCGATTTTGTTATCGATTATTTATCGATTTCGTTATCGATTTTGTTATCGATTATTTATAGATTTTGTCATCGATTTCGTTATCGATATTTTTATCGGTTTTGTTATCGATATTTTGTTGGATGCTACTATCGATTTTGTTATCGATAGAGTTAAGATAAAAATGAAAATAAAAGAAAACAGAGTAACATAAATGTAATTAGAACGAACAGGGAAAGAGGTAGGCACCTAGATAGAAAAAAGACAAAAGTATAACCTTAAGCAAAAAAATGTATGTACATATATTGGCTATGAGACAAAATAGATATGAAACGTAAGTTTCACTTCCCCAGTGTGGCCCAGGCGCACTTACTTTTTTCTATGGATAACTTCTCGAGATATTTGCAATTTACCATTATTCAGCTTAATAAAAATGTGGTTTCACTTAATCACATATATCTAACGAACCAATTGAATAATCGTAATACGAGATACGGAAAATGAAAGCTAATAAAATTCTACGTACACCATATATACATCACTTTTCGATAGCCCTGATAGTTTCTGAGAATTTAATTATTAATTTCTGACACCTCTTGCTTTCAATGCAAACACTCTACCTACACAGGTGGCCTATAAGTAACACTCTTTTCTGCTCAAATTTCATATACAAAATTCCTGTGCATTTTTATTTGATCAATCCTTCTTATTATAGATTTTTTCTAAAGGAACAGGCTTTAACACAAGTGAATTTACACAGAAACTGTTGTATTTTTAATTTTTTCCTTGTTAAAGTTTGAATTCTGGAATCTGGAATAATTAATTAATTCCTCAGAAACTAGCATGGCTATCGAAAAGTGATGTATATACGGTTTATGGAGAATTTTATTTTCTTACATTTTCCGTATCTCTTATTACGATTATTTAATTGGTTCGTAAGATATACATATGTGATTAAGTGGAACCAATCTTTTTTTAAATTGCAAATATATCGAAAACGTATCCATAAAGAAAAAAATTAGCTCGATTTTCGGAAGAACAATTTTCTGGAGAACAATAACAAAATTAAAATTTGTGATCCAGTGTAATTGTTCGATAATAAAAATATGTCGAGCTTATCACATCTAATTTTAGATTATATTTAATAGCAATGGAAATGTGATTTGCGATACCATGATACATACAGTGCCAAACAGAAGTATTGGCACAGTGAACTTTTCGCAATATATGCAAAGTTGTTTATTCTAATTTATTTTCGATAATTTTTTATAAAAATATTGTTCATTCTACACCAGAAATCATGATAATAAAATCTCTATACTTTGTGCAAAACTCAGGAAAATTCATTAAATTTGCACACTAATTTGCAACTTTTTATTCAGATTTTTTAGAAAAATTCTAAGTATGCAGTTTTGTAGTCCATTCAATTTTGGTATGGCAAGATGCAAGTTTAAAGTTGCTAGAGAATCGGGTTGATTTTTGGCAATTTTTTTAGTGGAAGGTGTTGCTCGTTTTCTCCGTAAAAAATTAATTGTCGAATATATTTTGTATGGAAGAACTAGCGTGAAAAAAATTACCAAAAATCAACGCGATTTTCTAGCGACTTCAAACCTGCACTTTGTTATACTATATTTGAATATATATATATATATAAAACTGCATACCTAAAATTTTTCTAAAAAATCGGAATAAAAAGTTGCAAATTAGTGTGGCTGCATTCCAAAACGTCAAAATACAAAGTATCAGTATCTTTTATTCCTAAACCTCAGTAGATTGTAATTCCAAATGTGCGCAACCAATGTTAGATGCTAGTTTTCAACTAGGTTGCGCAAATTAGACTTTTTCTCCTAGTGCTGTTTAGAAATAAAAGACACTGATGCTTTGTATTTTGACGTTTTGGAATTCACCCTGTGCAAGTTTAATGAATTTTCCTGAGTTTTGCACAAAGTTTAGAGATTTTATTATCATGATTTCTGGTGTAGAATGAACAATATTTTTATAAAAAATTATCGAAAATAAATTAGAATAAAAAACTTTGCATATATTGCGAAAAGTTCACTGTGCCAATACTTCTGTTCGGCACTGTATATTATTTCCATAGCAATCATATGTACACTTGTGTTCAGCTGATTAAGTCAAGTGACATTTTGACTAGCTTTGGCTATTTTTCTTTTGTTTATTTAACGTTCATATTTTTTTATAAAAGTTTAGCACTTTACCTAACCAGCGCCACATTAATCCACATTTCAGACTTCGTACAAAAATTATGAAAATTCAACAAACTTGAACATTTGTACACAAAAAGTTTAAACTTTTTATTCAGAATTTTTAGAAACATTTTCGGTATGCAGTTTTCTGGCTCATTAAATTTTAGCGCAAATTTCAAGACGCTAGAAAATCGCATTAATTTTTAATATTTTAAAATTTTAAAATGTTAAAAATCAACACGATTTTCTAGCGTCTACAAAACTGCATACCCAAAATTTTTCTAACAATTCTGAATAAAATGTTTACATTTTCGGGTGTAAATGTTTAAAACTTATTCAATTTTCATAATTTTTGTACGAAGTTTGACATGTGGATTTATTTGGCGCTGGTTAGGTAGAGTGCTAGACTAGAAAAAGAGTCAAAATATCACTTGACTTAATCAGCTGACCACAAGGGTACATACATAAACACTTACATAAGTTCATATGTATATATACACATATGTACTTTCCCAGTGGGAAAATGTAATTCATGGTAATCGAAAAAAATAATCAGTAAAACAGCAATTTTCAAATCCGAAAACGGGTATTTCCATACGTCACATTTTTTTTCTTTCACTATTTTTTGACCTCTATATCTAACTGAAAAATAAAAACAATCGAACAGCATGGTACTTAAATATGTGTTCGCAATTAAGGAAGTTGATTTTTTCTTTTCTTATAAAATCGCAAAACGCTGCGAATTGTGGATGGCTCTTTTCATGAAACTTGTTTTAATATGATTTGGAGTAATTCTAGTTGTGTCTAGAGTTTTTTGAATTAGGGCAACTTGATAATTTTTTTTTTTTTTTATGTGAAATGTTACATGACGTGACATAAATTTTCATCATTATAGTATTGTTAATATTGCTTTTAAATGAATTTTTAACGCAAAAAAAACATGAATTTTATGTCGACTATACTTTATAGCTTGACTTCAGCGCCAATCCAGGGTAAATTTTTTGGAAATCTATGATTTATTATGCTTCAACTACATATGCCAAATTCGAACCAAATGGTACCCTAAATTCGGTTTTTCGAAATACATATCTCGATCCTGGCGCCGTCTAGCAATACCATTTTACGCAAACATTTTTCTGCTTACATAACCAGTATATGTATATGTATTTAAAAAAAAAACAGAAAATTTTGCTCATAAATACGTTAGATATATGACTATAATTTTTTTTCGCGGTAGACCTTCCGATGGAAACACCCACCCGGCGAAAAGTATGGCATTCAATTTTGCATTATGTATGTATGTACATAGTAATCGGCGAATGTATGCGACTTAATATGAATTTTTTAGGACTTTTTGGATACATTAGATTGTTGATTACATATTTCTCAGAACTGGAATCTAAAACTTACAAGAAACACACATTTCCTTGTTTATTACGCATTAACGCAATACTACTTTTCCAACTGGGCTGGTATGTATATTCATGTGCATATGTACATATATTGTACATATGTATGTATATTAATAAGTATTTACTTCTAGCGTACATTATGCATATCTACAAATTTTCACAAAAAAGTCCCGACGTTGCTAATTGCAAAAAATTATTATGGCTATGGAAAAATACACATCACGAATGATCTACATACTCTTACATACTAGAATGTTTGCACAAACATAACTGAGTATGTGTATAGAATATAACGTTTCGCTACATTGTATTAACGGCTAGACGATTACGTACAAATTTATAGGTATACATACATACGTACGCGCATATGTAGTACCTATATAGACTTAAGACAGCAGCAGCAACATCAACGTCAATCTCATCAGAATCGACTACGACGAAGACGAGGCGCTAAGCAGAAATCACACAAAGAAATGAAAATCTATTGACTGGAATGGCTGTTGTTGCAAATTGTTATCATAGCTGTTTTTTTGTGTTCGCCTTCCTCCACATTGCTTCCGCCGGCACTGATGCTATTCACGCCATGATGGTACGTCCCCCCTCCGCTTGCAACCCTCCACATTTTACTATTCAGAGGAGTTCGTGCGTTTTCTGTGCTTCGTCTTTCCGCTTATATTACCAACAGTTCAATGAACTTAATTTCATATTTTTCGCGCGCGCGCGCTTCTTTCTTAATCGCAACTCTCCCATTTCTTTTTTCATGCTGACGCACATTGATATGTACATATGTATGTACGTATATGTATTTCACAGCACATAGATAAATAAATAAAAACTAATGTACATATGTACGTATGTGTATTGTCAACATTATCTACAGCTGTTTTTTTTTTGCATTCTGCCACTCCAACGGTTCTGGATGACATTTATGAGGCCATATAAAGTTCGTCTCCA